ACCACACTTCATCTTTGTGAACGCCGATGCTATTTAAGCTGATGGACTCAGGGCAGTGTAGTGGCTTCCTTAGACCCATGTACTGCCAGAACAGGATTGCATCGCTTTGAAACGTATGTAATCCTTGCCCGGCCAAGCTGCCGAGGGAGGCAGAGCAATCAGTACAGTGGCTGGAGCCAGGCTAATCGCTCACTTAGATCTAGTCCTTCTCAAGAGCTTCTTAATTATCTCCCTCTCTGACTGAGATTGTAGAGGAAACAAATCACTGTTGTTTTGAAATGTGAAGGTTGTTGTCTTAATCCTGCACAGCCAGGCTGTGCTTTCAGGAAGCTGTGCTGCAGTTCTGCCTATGAGGGAGTGCAGGGTGGTGGGGTGTTTGAGGTGGGAACTGGCTTGGGCTCTAAAGATAGCCAGTGCCCCACCACGTGCTATGACACCTTCTCAGCAGATTTCCTATTTTCTGTTTGTTTCTGCTCTCATTGTGAATAATGTTTGCCTTGTGAGGAGTGGGGCTGGCAGATTAAATGGTCTGTTTGCCACTGGCAGAGCTGCATCCAGTTTTGGGGCCCTCCCCAATTCAAGAAGGATGTTGAGATGCTGGAGAGGATACAGTCACAGGCTACCAAGATGTTCAGTGACTTAAAGCATATAACTGAAAAAGATACTTTGAGGGATCTGGCCTTATTCAGGCTGGTGACAACAGGGCTAACTGGGAATCTGATAGCAGTCTACAACTACTTGAAGGGGTAATTTATGGTGCCGGTTTCCTCACCCAAGTTTGTTTTCAAAGCCTAGCTTTCTGGCCTCATTGAAAACCATGGATGAGACCATGCAGGTTTGGGGACTGCTGGAAATGTTTAACTCAAAGCCATTGTTAGGGAATTATTCACATGAAGGTGGGCAAGCACATGGCTAATCAGATAGCTGGAGTTTATGTTATCTGACTGACTCAAACACCCTTGCTTGAGGTGGGAAGATGTTTCTGGGCACACAACAGGTCTTAAATTGAGAGCCCTCATCCTTGCTGGCTGGGAACTTGGGAAGGAAGGGAGCAAGAGGGATGTTGTCAGATTAATTTAGCTTTTCTGCGCCATAGCACTAGATAATTTTGAGTCTTCTGCTTGTCCTGCCAGAATAACCCCTGTGAGAAAGCAAAGCTACGCAGATAAAGATCCCACCCTCAGCCCTGAAAGTATGAGCCAGAAATAAAGCACAAAGAGAGGAACTTTCTTTCTTCAATTTAATTGAAGTTACTTAGAAAAATAATCAGGCTTGAATGGCTTTTTTAAGGAAAGATTCATGAGCAGTTCACACTTGTGTTGGCAATGTATAATTTAGCTTTTTTCTTTATTAACAGTATATTTAGGTATGAGGAGATACTTTTCTACAAGCCTTCTACTGCATACAAATAGGTTAAAAAAAAAATCCAACCCCACATCGATGTTAAATTATTCGTACACATTGTATTGTGCATGCATGTAAGAAAATAACACTCTCTGTAACAAGAGTAATAGTAAGGACAGTCCCTTTTTGTACCTGAAAAGTGCAGCAGACTACAGTGAAACCCTAAAACATCTGGGGTCGACTTACTTCTAAAAGCACTTCTGCTTGTGGATTATTTATTTCATTTGTCTTACGCAGCATGTGGGTCAGGCAGTTTGCACATTTCTGTGACAATGGACATGGTCTATGAAGAGGCTGAAGCATGGACTAAGTCAGGTTTGGGGTGGACCTCCCACCGCCCAGGAGTCACCACCATGTTCAGATGGGCCAAATCCAGCCTGGGCTCCAGGTTAAGGTGCTTGGGGCCATCAGAGGGGAACGAGCCCCCAGCTGTGGGTATCGCGCCGGGCAAGGAGCCACGGGCGCTGCTGGGATCAGCGCTGGTCCTGCCAAATGATGGGGAAGCACCAGCTGCTCGGAGATGGGAATCACTGCTCCTCGAGCCCAGCGGCTTTGAGGGGGCTGGGGCAGAGGTGGGGAGCGGGGCCTTCCCTGCTGGGTCCTCTCTGCGCTCACCACTGCTCAACTAACACACATCCTTCTAAAACAGCAGCTCCCTGGGCGGCCCTCGCAGCCCCGCGGGCGCATCTGTAGGGTGAATTTTGCTGTGGCTGCAGCTTTGCCTGTTCGTCTCCCAGGACCAGCTGTGGCCGTAGCAGAAATGAAGCTGGGAGGGAGGCAGAGCTCGGGAGCAGAGCAGCCCCTCCGCTCCTCTGGCTGGGAAACCCAGTGAAGAGATGGGCTAAAACCAAGCTGGTTCCCCACCTGCCCCCACACTGCAGGTGGTGGCTGCCAGCTCGCTGAGATGAGGAGGAACGTCCCTGAATACTCTCCTGTGTGGAGGATAGTGGAGAGAGATATTTTTTTGTCTCCATCAAGACAACACACCCAACAGGCCAAAAAAAAAGGTTATTCCTTAACATTTGTGGTCCTCCTCTGACCTGCTGAGGGCTTCGTGCTCAACGCGCAGGACACGACCATATCCAGCATGCCAGCTGTTCATGTTAAACACAGATCTACAGCCCATTCACAGCACCCCAAAACAGACGTAACATGCTAAATGGACAGTTTATAGTAGTTTGGGATCAAGGTTTTTAAAAAGCAAGTGACTTTTAAGTACCCGCTTAAGACCACATAAAAGCCATCTCAGTGTGGAGCATCTGCCCGCAGGGCAGCCCTCTGCGGGGAGGCAGAATTTGGGCAATCAAACCCAAAGCTGCTGCTAAAAATCTCGGCTCAAGCAGCACTCACCCCTCAGATCTCCTGAATGTGTTTTTCTCCTAAAGCTTTTCTATCACAACTGTCAGATAGGGTTTTTGTGTCTCCAAAGCAGTGAAACTAAAGACAGTATTTCAGAACAGATAAAAACATGGTGATGACAGAGAAAAGTACAAAAAGAAAGGGGGAAGCACATCCTATTTTTAAAATATTTACTTTCTGAAGCAACTTTTTTTCTTAAATGAAAAAGTTCACATCACACTCTGTAGGAGGGATTAACAGCTAACAGAAGAGAAAACTGGACCAAAACATGAGCACTGTTGGATACAAGACCAAACAAGCACACAAATAGCTTGTGGGGAATACTGGAAGGGGAGAGGGGAAATAATACCCTCAGACAAATTTTTTTTTTTTTTTTTTTTTTAAACATTTTTTTTTTTTTTTTTTTTTTTTTTTTTTTTTTTTAAATGAAAAAGTTCACATCACACTCTGTAGGAGGGATTAACAGCTAACAGAAGAGAAAACTGGACCAAAACATGAGCACTGTTGGATACAAGACCAAACAAGCACACAAATAGCTTGTGGGGAATACTGGAAGGGGAGAGGGGAAATAATACCCTCAGACAAATTTTTTTTTTTTTTTTTTTTTAAACAAACATACAACCATTGAACTATGAAGACAAGAAAGCCAGGGCACACTGTGATAGGCACTTGCAACAGCTCTGCATGCTCTAAATGAGACAAAACCGCTTTCAAGTAAAACACCAGCCAGCGATCAGCAGCCGCTCAGGAGCTCAGAGCTGTCAGGCACAGCCAGCCAGCTCTTCACTAGCCACCGGGTCAGCGCTCCAGGTTATAAAGAGGACCTAGGTTATGAAAACTGTGGCTGTTCCAGAATGGATGAGAGATTTATTTGTAGGGTATGATAAAAAAAAAAAATTACCCGAATCCTGGCTAAGAACAAATCCCATTTTGAAAGGACTTCAGCTGCAGTTTGTTATGTTAATTTGTTCTTCACTGAGATTTACTCAGTGACTTATTTTTATAAAATAAGATGGAATTTATTTTTCTTTGTTAACCATACATATATGGTGTCCTGGAGACTAATGGAATTCAGTGGGTATTATCAGCTACTGTACAATATGACATTTTCGGAATCTGGGTCTGATACTGTTAAAACAGCCCTGCCTTCAGCTGAGTTTATTTAAACCTTCACTAATTTTTTGAAGGGTTGGGTTTGCTCATAAGATTGACACACAGGCAAGTCAAAAACCCATTTTAACAATCATTCAACTTTAAAACAGATTTTAGGTTCCCCCAAGTGCCTTCACTTAAGCTTCTGCCTCCTTCTGCCCATCAGCCGGCTGCCGGCGCTGCCGCCCCAGGACTGGACGGCTTCAGGTGGCCACAGACCATTCCCCGGGCCGGCGCCTGCCGCCCGCGTGGCCGTACGCCTCACCTGCATCACATTAAAGCAACATCTGGGGAAGCCTGTACTTCTGCCCACTTGAGCCGGCTAATAGATCCACACTGAATTCTCATTTTTCATTATTTATTTGCCGCAATAGATTACTACTTGCTTGCCCAAAAACAATCGCTGGGCGTGCTATGCCTGGTACAATCTGCCATCCCAACAAGCTGTTTTACACAAAACAACCGCTACTGAGATGTTCACCTTAAATAAAAAGGTCATGGTCTCACACTAGAGCTGACTTAGATGAAATACTAACCCACTGGAAATTAGAAACAAACCTGTCAATGGTATTTAGGCATCAACTAAAAAAAGATGACTTCCCCTTCCCCTAGGAAAAAGCCATGAAACCAGCATGTAGGAAGATGACAGACCTTTTTTATTGCCTTGCATGCTTAGAGATCAACACCAAGATGACTTTCTGACTTTTCGATTACATGCCCGCATCCTTTATAGCAAGGGTGACCAGTGTTTTTTGAGCCAATTTTGGTTGCCCATCTTAAGATCAATGAGGGAGGCATGACTTGCAGAGGGTCCACCCTCTGGATATGAATTAAGTCAATGCCAATTGCTTTGGGCATTCAAAAAGCTCTACAGTCACTTTCAAAATGCTAATTTTTTTCTGATGGACCATCTGCAAATCTGCATTCATTTGGGCTGGCAGGCTTTAAATTAAGAGACAATGGGACTGGTCATATTCTTGATAAAATCATTAAGTCCAGACTTATAAAAAGTTCATGGTTTCTCTTCCCACGGAATACATTCACATTTCTTTCAGTCATGGGTTTTAGATACCATGATCTATCAAAATCTGTTTTACTTTTCCCTTTCAGGGCTAGATAGATTTTTTTTAGTACGCTTAAGTGCAATATCACTTTCTGAAGAAATTATTTCCACCGGTCTTCTCAGCGTGTGTGGTATCAAGAACCATTCCGGTATTTACCTGCATCAACGGCTAATGGAAGAATATTATTACCCAGAGACAAGCTCAACTAAGGAAAGCACAAAACCAGACTCCTTTTGTCCAAATGTTATCTTATCTTATCTCTGCTGCTGAAGTGACACCTACCAAGAGACCATGTTTTAAATAAGTATAAATAACATTAATTAGAATTGGAGGAATGCAAGATCAATGAAATTCACCAGAACACAATTAACATTTCTTTTTAAACAGTGTAGCAGTATTATTCATTTCTACAGCTAGATCGTCACAATCCTGTTACCCTGCAAAGAGAGCTGTCCTTTCTTACAGTTGATTTAAATAATTTTGACTGTGCTGCTCGCAGCATCATTCAAAAAAAGAAAATATTAATTTACAAAATAACCCATTCTCCATATTTATTATGACAAATAAAAATCTTAAATAAAACAGGCTTTCTCTCCCCTCTCTCCCCCCGACCCATCCCTCATTCCAATTTCAGGTAGCTTGGCACTGAGTAATTGAACATTAAAAAATCAAGTTTGTAGACTTCATACAGCTGCGTTTGGTGCTCGGAGCTGATGTTCTGGAAGAACTCTGTGGTCATTTCATCAGTAGTTCTCGTAGACTTTGCATAGGTGGGGAACTTCAGGTAGTTGCCTACTCCCGCCAGCTGGAGAATGTAATTCGAATCCTCTTCGAGCGTTTCGTACTTTCCTATGAGGTCGTAGTGGATGTGGCAAGGGTGGCAGAGGGAGTACACAGTCTGCCAGTGCTCGTTGAAGGGCTCTTCTCTTTGGGTGTGCGGGTCGATGAGATACGCCACAAACTCTTCGAATTTCACATCATCGCCTTTACGCAGAGCTTCCTGGGTTGCGTTTTTCCTCTGTCGCCTCACAATTTTGGTGCCGTATCGCTTGTGGAAGGAAGTGTTGTACTTCTGGGTGAACTTGTTCCTGTAGGCTGACACCAGTCTCTCAAAAGGCTCGCGAACAAAGAGGAACTTCATGTAGTTTTTCAAGCGGTGGTTGATCTCTGGGATGCTGTACTGGTTGAGGGTCTTCAGGTTCGAAGACACATGGGCTTCGTTGGCTGGGATTTCCATCGGATCGCTGTACTTGCCTCTTCCCGTCAAAACCATCATGACTCTCTTCCAGTTTGTGCAGGCCACTTTGGGAACATAGCAATAGATCATTTCATGATCTTCATCCACGACCAGGTGTTTGAGATCGTTTGGTGTCAGCACGCGGCGCTTCCTGCTAGATACACTGTTTGCTCGGCACGTGTCTGTCACTTGGTCTCGTCTGATCTGATGAAGAATCGCTGTGTTGGACAACTGCAAAGCAAGAACAGGCACCAGTAAGTCAAGCACCTGGGAAACTCTTACTGCCTTTTTGCTTATTATACGAATTCATAGAAAAGTAGATTACTGCATGTATAGAACAGCTCATTATGTCGCTGAGTAAAATTGTTCCTGTGCTAGAAGATAAACTCTTTTTGTCTCCAAACTTCTTGATACGTGCTGCTTAAATGCTGTTCACAAAGAAAGTGCCCACGGCTTTGCTTTGAGGCCAACACAAAGGAGCACAAGCACTCACACAGCCTGGTGGCAGTGTATTTACAGCACCCTCACCCTGAGATGCAGTCACTGCTTTTCTTAGTCCTGGAAAACAGATCTTCCCTCCCCTCTGCAGTCCATCCCACAGCTACAGCAGTGCTGGACCCTGCCTGACCTTTTGCTGCTGAGATGAGTTAGGGAGACACCAGAGTTGGTAAATTTGTCAAAATGAAAATGGTATGTGCTCTTGTTGCTGATGTCTTTCACGCTAGAGAATTAATAATCGCGGCTTTTTTCTTGGCTATGACCTTGGCAGAAGAAATTAAGCCCATGGAGATTCCTGCTACTCCCCAAGGGGAACATTCACTCAGATGTGATTTCTTGAGGAGCAGGGAGAATATCAGCTATAAATTTGCCTCTCTGCTAAAGTCATATTGACAGAGAAGGAAAGAGGGTGTGGCCTTCTAACACACACCGCACCATATTCCACCACACACAGCACCATATTCACACACAGCCTTTTATTATTTTGTTAATAGCTCCCTAACTTTCTAATATTACTGCTACTGGATGCTTTGGTGAGGCTGTAATCTGTCTTGGGGAGGCCCACAGGGCAGCTGCACAGAGATGGCCACGGTCTTGCCACCAGCCACCTCCTGCCCAGCTTGTGTCCAGTGACAACGGCGAGAGCTTCTGCTAAGGCAGGTAATGAGCTCCTGGGGAAAACAGGGAATACCAGCCCAAGCAAAGGACCATGCTGACGCAGGGCTCCTGTGTTTGGTTACTCAGAGCCATCTGAGGTGTCTCTGCATGGCATGGTGTTTTGCTGTGCAGTCCTACCCTCACTGCTACAAATGCCTTTTATTCTGAAAAAATTGCATCAAAGCAACAGGGGGAAAGTTTTGGTAACGCTATTTACATTTACTTAACCCCACTTACCTGTGGATTTCAAAGAGCCTTACACACAATAATTAGTTTAGCCTCAAAGCCAAATATTAAGGCAAGTATTGACCTTCCTATCTGATAGGCAAGGAGGTCTGAGATTCCTTCTTGAACACCGAGTCCTTCAGAAGTGTTTATATCTGATACCTTCTGGTTAGGTTAACATGAATCACAGAACACTGCAATGAAGCAGTTGAGGCAATGTAGACTGTATACATCTGCTATGGGGGTTATAGGGGTCTTCCCCCTTGACAGTACAATATCTTTGGCAAATGGTTTTGCACCAGCTCGGGGGTTCATACTGAACCTCCAGTTCCTGCAGTCATGGGTCAAATCTCTGCTTCAATATCTTTAGTTAGCCCTGACTCATATTAAAAAAAAAAAAAAAAAACAACTCAAAGAAGAGGATCCAAATGCACTTTAGAGGCAAAACCCAAACCAAACCAAACCCCAAGATGGGACCAAGCCAGTTGTAGGATTTCTGAGCTTTGGAAGGAAAGAAGATAGAAATTGTATTGTTACAGACAAGCCCTAAGAGCCCAGGTTTCACCTGCCCAAGGAGTAGCTAAAGCTTTTACAATGTCTGAGCAGCAGAGACTCTCCCTCCCTCTGAGCTGCGGTGGGTTGCAGAGGAATGTTCTCGTGGGGTGGGCAACACCAAGGGGCTGGTGCACCTCAGACTTGGGCAGAAGGGTTTTTTTCTTCAGGACAGCATTTATGAGCCAAGCCTGGGACCTCTGTATTTTGTACAGTGCCATCCACCACTTCTCCTCTGAATTCCTTGATACTTTCCTCATCTCATCTCTTTAGCCCCTTTGTTCAGCAAAATGTTGGCTAATGGTTAAAATATGCAATAGCCCAGCGCAGCTCCTTTAGACAGCTTGGCTTGTCTTTTGTGCGTGTGTGGTATCCCCCTGAATACCTCCCAGGTGCATTTCAAGGGCAGTTTTGTGCTATTAGTCCAAGAGATGAGAAGCCAGATGTGGAATGTGCTTCATGTTTCCTAGGAAAACTGACTGGCAGGGAGTTTCCAAAATAAGATGTTAGAAAGCAGTTGTCAAGGACCACACAGATTTTTGAAGAAATTACTTTTTCTGTTGAAAAAATATAAAATCCTTATTTCAATTTATGCTGTCCTCAGAGAGAAACAGAACTAATGGTCACCTCTATACTGGTCAGAGTTACCAGTGAAAAATTTTCAAAGAACTAAACAAAACCCTATGCAAACACACAGACATACAAATTCTCCTCTGCAGACAGATAAAATGATGAAATCTCTCTTCCTGGAGATTTTCATCAATATCATATAGCACAGTTCTGCTGTTTGCCTCTGGTTTTAGAGTAAAAAAAAAAACATGAAATGCCTGAATATACTGCTACATTACAATATGTTAATGCACTGTATTTGCTTTTCTGGTGCTGTTCTTGGGATAAATACAGAATTAAGTGGATGAGATTCTATGGCCTGTATTAGATAGAAGGTCAGATTTGATAATCTAATGGTTTCTTCAGACCCTAATCTGCAGATGAATCTTTGTGGAGCTGTGCTTTGCTCCTGATTTCATTCCTACATCAATAGGCTAAGCACTTCTTCCCCATACATTAACATTAATGAGATTTTCAGACAAGAGGAAAAATGCAGCCTTAGTGTTTGCAATTGCAAATGAGATTGTATTACATTAAATTCACTTAAAAGATTATACTTGTGCATTTTGAAGTGGTACTTGTCTCCTGCTCTTTTTAACATGGAAGAAATATGAAGAAATGCCATACAGGTTTGGTCAGCTACATTTACCAAGTATACACCAACACCCCAGGGTCAGCTCTGCACGTGCTCTGGCCTGTCTGGTGGCATACAGAACACGTGTTAAATATCAGTGTAACACTAAAAGGGTATTGCCCTATTCTGATAAATTACAGTACCATTGGGTATGGCTGATGGATGAAGGACCATGTAGGAATTACAGTTTTGAAAGCTCTACTTCCATTTTTATTTTTGCCTATTGACTTCAGCTTATTGAAAAAAAGGCCAATTTAGTGACTGTCCTAGAATGATGCCAACTGTATCAAAACCCATTTTCTTCTGCAGCTGACTAATACACCCGATATACCTTGAAAGAGCTGACCTACCTGCTTCCCCCAGAGAAGCAAAGAGCGAGCACTGCTGGCTGTCCCTAATGGTAACAACAGCCCTCTTGCTGAAGGATTGGGTGACGTGAAAGCCACACTCGCACCGCACTAGTGAAAAGTCAGGTAAGGTGCCGGAGAGCCTTTAATGGAGCTCCTGCAGAACCACCAAACTCTTTCCTTGTAAGCTGCAAACCACGGAGGACATGCTCCGTGGTCCCCATAGCCTACAGCACCATGCGAGGTAATCATAGCAGCATTTTTCAATTTGAAATTATACATTAACACTGAGTTAGCTGATGCTAATATGGTTCCTCCGCATTTTAAGTTACAGGCAAAGCTTTTAAGCCACATCACAATAATTTCACTCCTGAAGCTGGTGAGGGGAACTGGGAAAAGAATAAGATTACACGAGACTGGAACTACATTTATTTAAACTAGAGGCTCACTTAGCCAGTGAAAATGTGCTCACAACTAACGAGGAAAATACACTCTACAGATTTAAGCAGCCAGAGAGATAAGACTCAAGGGACAGATATCTTTAAATCCATGGCTGGCGAAGGGCAAGTCAAACAATTAGGGCCATGGACGGTCTTCCCTCAAAGCTGTTATAGATGCAGCTACAGAGGAGTTGTGAGAGCACGGCTGCTGCCTGGACACTGACTGCTGCACCTGTGGTCATTATCAGAGGTCCCTGCTGATCCCGCAGTTCAAGAAGCCACGATAAGTAATGACCTAAATCCACCCCACTTTCGGAGAGGGCACTTTTAAGCATGTGTGCAGGTTACCCTGAGAGCAGCGTGGGAATGGTGCTCGGGTCTGTCCTCTGACAGTTCAACTTGGACTTCAGCTGAGCATTAAAGGTTTTGGGAAGGCATCCGATAAAAGCATCCGTTCTTTCCTGAAAGGACTGACAACACCATAGATGCACTTGATCACGGGTTTTTTTCCTGCAGAAGTCGTAACGGGGGACAGAGAAGAAGGGCATGTCAAGATCAAAGTTTTTCTTCCTTTTCTGATGCAGCAACCGAGTTGAACAGGGAAGCAACATGAGCAGCGGGAGACTCCCAAGCTCAGCAGCATTTAAAAGAAGAAAAAAGAAAAGTATTCTGGGCACACTCTGATCCCAGAAGCTTGTCATCTTCACCAGTCCCAAACTAACAATGACGGAGGAAAGCTAAGGCCAGCACACTCTGCTCATGTGGATGTGTTCTGTACAGCAGGGGTGGGCTTTGAGCGTAGTCCACTGAAGAATATACTGACCAGAAATATATATGCTGACTAACTGACAATCATCAACCCATGACATGCAAAGGTTATTCAAGGTAAATCACAGTAATGAGGTGGGAGGTATTTTCTTCTGGTTACTTAGGCACAGCAGGATAAAATAATCTTTGAGGGCCTTTCCAAGCTTGATGGCCAAGCAGCAAGTTCAAATTTAAACACAGGACATTTTTAATTAATGTTTTATTTCTGAATATAGTAGTGTACTGCAAAGTAGGAGCAGAGATCAATCCAATTCACAGGTACCTGCACTGAAAGCACTTTTTTTAATAGAAGGATGGACATATCTAAGTGTGACTCAAAAAAGAAATTAATTAAATTTTGTCTTCCTATAAAATATTAGTGTGCAAAGAAGTATCCCCTGCGCTTATAAGGCAAGGTTTTATTTATTTCTATTGCACTGCCTGCAGCTGCTGCTCTGCACG